CCCTCCCTCCCTCCCTTCCTCAGCAGCCATTGTTATTCTGTAGTTCGGAATATTTCTTTTCAGAAACATGACACAGATAGGTTGGATAGCCTCATGAGGTCTTGTTGCCCCCTTTTAGCTAGGAAGAGAGTGTGTACGTGAGTGAACTTTTCACCACTGGGAAATAGGTGGCTCTTTCCAGGGTCTTCCTAGTGCTTCCCTGCAATTAATAGGAGGTGTGCTTGGCCCGTTTAACACTCAACTTTCTGTGCTTACCTCTTAAGCTTCCTTTCCCACAGCCAGAATTATTTTTCAGAATCTTCAACTACGTATACTATTGGTTTGTTTGCATTTCTTTGTCATTAAGGTTGAGTGGCTTTTTTGGTCTGTTTCTTGCTATTTATTGGCTATTGCTAGTGTTTTTTCCTGTGTGAAGTGCCTCTTTAGACCCTCACTGGGGCTTCCGGCTTTGGGGAGTGGGTCTCTTTGTTTGTAAGACCTAAATAGTACAAATGTCTTTCTTAGTGTTGGGTTTTTTTTGGTACTGGGTATTGAACTCAGGACCTCCTGCTTGCCAGGCAGGTGCTGTGCCGCTGAGCTATATCTCCGGCCCTCTAGTGTTGACTTTTGTCATTTCACTTAGTATGCGGTTTGGTGTTTAAAATACAAGTCTTGTTGTGTTTCTGGTTTTTGTTTTTGTTGGTACTGCCAATTAAACCCAGAATCTTTAGACTGAACTACATCTCCAGCCGTTTCGATTTTTTTTAAATTTTGAGACAGCATCTTACTATAAATTGCCAGGGCTGAGCTCAAACTTGCAATCCTCCTGCCTCAGCCTCCCAAAGTACTAGGGCTACAGGCATGAACCACCACACCTGGTTCAATATCACTTATCACTTCATTTCATTGTTCAGAACCACCCAGACAATATTGCCTAACAGTGTTTAGAGAAGGTAAATATTTTGTTCCTGTCTTTAATGAAAATGTTTATATTTTCTTGTTCACTATGTTTATTGTTAGTTTTTATAGGTGATTATTTTTAAAATCACATTTAAAAAGTTGGTTTTTATTAAGTGTTTTGTTGTTGCTGTTATTTTGTTTTATTTTAACCTCAGGTATAGGTGTGCTTTGGGACTCTATGACAATACCCTGAAATTTCATCTTTTAGTATGATGATCTAAATCAGTATATTTCTTTATGTAGAACTTTTAATTATCAGCTTTTAATTATCTGCTTGTTTATGATACACTATTTAAATTCATAGCTAGATTTTATTTAGAAACGTTCTAATTTAACTATTAGCTATATTCACAAATGTAATCAAATTTGGGTGAAACGTGTGGTTTCTAGGATAGGCTTATCTACTTTATACTAATCTCTATTAATGAACTTGTAAATTTTTTTGACATGATAATGACAGGGATGATAGCAGAACCTACAAATATGATATAAGGGAAATATAACTCTCAACCTGTTAGATGTCTGATAGGCCAAGTTCATGTTCTCTAAAGTGGAAAAATGAATTCTAAGAACAATGGATGTTAGGAGTAGGAAATTCTTTTTAACCAAAACATCTTTACTTTTTAGTCTTCAACAAACAAACTCCTTCTCTCTTTTTCCAAGATAATCACGATTAACTTAGTATAAGGCGAGGGGGCTGGGGATTTAGCTCAGCGGCAAAGCGCTTGCCTGGCAAGTGCAAGGTCGTGAGTTTGGTTCCTGGTACCGGAGAAAAACCAAAAAAAAAAAAAAAAGAAAAAAAAAACTTGGTATAAGGCGAAAGATTTATACGATTTGAAGAGAAACCAGAAAAATGTGTATACAATACATCTTCAAAGTATTTCCCTTTAACGGGAAACTTAGCTTTATAGAATCTAAACATTAGAAGGTTAAAAAAATTCTTTTCTTGCCATTATAAAATGGAATCTACAAGAAAATCCACTCGTACTTCTGGTCCTTCTCCTCCAGGAACTAGCATGGTTATATTATTTCCATTGAGTAAGATCTGATCTAATGTAATAATCTTTCTTCCATCTGGTGTGACCCCAAACTCAGTGACATCTTCCAGCACCGTATCGACAAAGTCATCAAATCCTAGAAGGGTGCCAAAAATTTCCTTATCCCTCTTCATCACAATGTGAATTCTTTTATTTTTTTTTATTTATTTATTTATTTATTTATTTATTTATTTATTTATTTTCCACTACCAGGAATCGAACTCACGACCTTGCGCTTGCCAGGCAGGTGCTGTGCCTCTAAGCTAAATCCCCAGCCCCTACAATGTGAATTCTTGATCCTATACATTTGTCCACCAGCTCTAGCAGCAGCAGCTGAGACGGGTTAGTGGTCACATTGGCTGTCATCACTACGCTGGAAGTGGCCTGGAAATATTTACTGAAGGGTAGAAAAAAGCTCCTGACTCAGAGGGACAGGAGGGGACACCCAGAAAATGGGTTGCCCAGGACCCCACTTCTCAGGGGAAGTTTTTACAGAGCACAACCACATGGGTACAACGTGGGTTACAGCTATGATCAATCAATAAGGTTGTAAGTATAGCTGCTAAAGTAATAATACTGATCCAGTGGGGAAGCAAATCAGGAAGGGAGTGGGCATGGAAAGAACAAAGAACTTCTCAGGTAGGTGATGGATCCAGGGGTCTTGGTTGCCCACTTAGGTGACTGATTCCTAGCTAGACTTTACTAGACCAGGTGTTATCGCTTATCTCACCCCTTGGGGAGTATGTAGGCTTGGTCCTTTTACTGTTATCTTGAGGCCTGGCCTCCATCAGATGCTTCTCCAGTCACAGTTGTATGCTTTTTCACCATTGTCTCAACTCTCTAGAGGATCCAGCCCTATCTGACTGCCTACAGTATTCCTACCCAACTTAGCTGTATATAATAATAACACAGTTGTCCCTCAGTATTTGGGGATGGTTGGTTCCAGGACTCCCCCAACCCAGCAGATGCAAGTATAGCCTCTCATATACTTTAAATCCACTCTAGGTGATTCACAATACATAATCCAATGTGCACGTTGTGTAAGTAGTTGTTATACTGAGTTATTTAGGGAATATGGACAAGAAGAGAATTTATACATATTCAATATAGACAATTTTTTAAAAAATACTTGCAATCTATGGTTGGGTGAACCTGAATACGGAGGATAAACTCTATAATATTTGTGTATAAATTTATATATCGATATGTACTTACATGTATATACATATATAAGGTTCATATGAACACACATATATGCATACACACAGGAATACCCATTTCCTCTATCACCATAAAGAGTAGAATAGAACTTTCCTTCCAGAGCTGGGGATATAGCCTAGCGGCACAGCACCAGCCTGGCAAGCACTAGGTCCTGAGTTCAATTCCCAGTACAAAAAAAAAAGAAGTTTCCTTCCAGATGAAACCTTTTGTGTATTTTTCTTCTGCTTTCTTTCCCTATCCATTTTTATGATTTAGCTCAAGTAATGTGAACATTTAGTTCTAAGTTATTTCCAAAATGATTGCCTTTTCCATTTTAAGCCTCCTTTTTAAATAATTAGTAGGTTTCATAGGGCCGGGAAGATGGCTCAGCGGCACAGCTCCTGCTTGGCAAGCGCAAGGTCCTGAGTTCGATTCCCAGTTCCAAAATAAATAAATAAATAGGTTTCATAGTCAAGCTACAACTTCTTAGCCATAACTTTAGACTCTTTCTGTTTGATCTTTTATTTTGAGACAAAGAAAGGGTCTGAGGATGTACTTCGGTGGTGGAGTACCCTGGATTCAACCCCTAGGATCACAACAAGACAAAAGTAAACAGTGAACAAAAACATTTCTATAGCTTGTCCTTCTCTTTCTTGAATTATTTGATGTATTTTCCATTTGGTCAGAATACCACATGGAGTATTTTATTTCTCGGTTAACTTTTAGAGACCCAAATGTCCTATTTGCATGTCCTTTTGCTAACAGAAGGTTTAGCTAGCTGTCAGATTCAGGGATCACTCTGAATTATTTCACCTCCAAAAATATAAACATTGCCTTATAAATTTCTAGCTTCCAGTGCTTTGGATGCAAATCCTATTTTTTTCCTTTGTGCATACTGTTTTTGTTGACTAAACAAACACAA